ATAATAGAAAAAGGAAAACCATCAAATTAACATAACCTCTAATTTGCCTTTGTACTCTTTTTTTTAAATGTAATCTTTATTTTTTCTAACCTTCAATAAAACGTATTCATTTAAAAAAATCAACATAATTCAGAAATATATAATACAAAGGGCATTTGCCAAATCCAGTCTCTTCATGTACATATTTCCATGCTTATAATTGTAGTGTACATAAATTTTATGTGTTGCTTTTTGGGCTTATTAAATCATAAACCTTTTTTCTAGGTTGCTACACGGTCTTTAAAACCGATGTTTTAATGACTGCATAATAGTCCATTGAGTGAGTTTTCCATTATTTACTCACATCTTCATATGTTTGTCTTATAGGTTGTTTCCAGCGTTTACCATTGTAATGGGCAGCTTCAGAAATATAGTTCTTTCCCATAATTTTGGATCATATCCTTAAAATAAATGATCAGGGATGGAATTATTAAGTTCAAGACTTTATACGGTCATTTGCTTTCCAAAGAGTTGTATGAGTGTATCAGTGTCACTGTTAACAAGAAGAGCAGGTAAAAATAAATTCATTGCAGGTAAAAATAAAATTCACAGAACCAGATCTTCTGAGTTTTACATATTTTATAACCACCAGATAAGATGAAAAACATGGGAAAACTAGTGAAAAATTAAGAGCATAGATGAGATATTATTTTAATCTCTCATGTAAGGTGAACCTGTAGTTCAACTGGGCATTGCAGAACAGGGCTTTAAATTTTATTTTAAGCTCAGGTAGCAACTTCTCTCCTTGATCCTGTCCAACTATTTTAGCTTAAAATACAGAACCTTTTTTAAAAAAAAATATGGACTCTTTTAATGTAGGTAAACTTTTTAATACTAGATTTGTGATATTTATAAGCAAAGGTTTAAGTTATATTTTAAAAAAAGCTGTTGTTCCTAACAAAAATTTGTATAATGTTATAATGACATACTTCTTTTCTTCTTCAGAAAACAGCCTTCCATAGAAGCCAGACACTGGGCTACAGGAATGGCTATGCAATTGTTCGACGTCCAACAGTTGGGATAGGCGGGGACCGGCTCCAGGTCAACCAGCTGTCCCAGGCTGAGCTGGATGAGTTGGCTAATAAGGCACCAGTTCTAACTTATGGCCAACCTAAGCAGGCCCCACCTGCAGACTTTATTCCTGCGCATGTGGCTTTCGACAAAAAGGTATCGTCTGGGATTTTAGGGCAACCCTTGAACTGAAGTGTCTGAGAGCCAACTGCTTGCAGAAAAGTTAACAGTAAACCACAGGATTCCCAGAGTGCTCTGAGAGGAAAATTGTTCAAATGCCTCAACCCTTAGTCATAGACAGCTGAACTTGGGCTTAAAAGAGGCTTTCTTTAGTCAGGAAGCCGATTACAGAAAGTAATTCCCTGTAGACTTCACTGGAATATTTTCCAAATACAGTTGAAGAAAAGTTGGATGAATTCTGAATTCTTGAGTTTGTATTGCTCTATATTTACCTGCTTTGTGTTTCCTGATTTTTAAAAGTATTATATTCTGTAATGATGACAAATCTTTAACTTCTTTAAAATGAAAAATATAATCATGAAAACAATGACTCCATCTATTGTCAGTTTTCTCCAGGCTGTCTCCTTAAGTTTTTGTTTTTCAAGGAACATTTCAGGTGTGATATTACATGACTAAAGGGTGTTGTAACGTTTTTGTTTGTTTCTCATTTACCCTTATGCTTTTGCAATGTGAGTTGCCTTATTTCTGTCTATTGACATTACCATATCATTCTTGCTTTTCTTTGAAAAAAAGCCTCCTCTTTTTATTAAAGTAAAATAGTCCTAGCCCTGGCCATGCAGCAGAATCACTGGTGAGACTTTTAAGACAATCAGATGTAATTCCAACCCTTATCACTCCTAATTTCCAGATGATTTTAATGTATAACTGGGTCTGAGACCTACTGACTAGTTTTTATAAGTTAACTTTCTTGTTTTGTTATTGTTGTTTTGTTTGTTTTGGTTTGTTTTCGAGACAGTGTCTTGCTCTGTCACCCATCTAGAATGCAGCGGTGTCATCATAGCTCACTGCAACCTCAAACTCCTGGGCTCAAGTGATCCTCCTGCGTCAGACTCCTGAGTAGCTGGGAATACAGGTGTTTGCCACCATGCCCGGCTAATTTTTCTATTTTTCGTAGAAACGGGGTCTTGCTTTTGCTCAGGCTGGTCTTGAACTTCTGACCTCAAGCAATTGTTCTGCCTCAGCCTCCCAGAGTGCTAGGATTGTGTTAAAAGTGAGAGCCATAGCACCCAGCCTAAGTTAGCTATCTTAATTTATTCCTTAGCCTTCTTTCTTTTCTTTCCTTCTCTTCTTTTCTTTGCTCTTTTCTTTTCTATTTCTTTTTCTTTTCTTTTCTTTTCTTTTCTTTCTTTCTCCCTTCTCTTCCCTTCCCTTTCTTTGCCTTCCTTCCTTCCTTCCTTCATTTTTATTTTATTATTTCTGTTAAATGTCTGCAATCTTTTCATCTAGCTAGCCAACTTTCATTGAGAACCTATTATAAGCTTCAGGCTGGGGAGGAACTATGCCATTTATATTAATAATCACTTAGTTAAAAACATTTTTAATCTATCAGTCAGAATCCATGTCATCTCTCCTTCCCCATTTTAGTCAACTCATTTATAAAAACATGTTCACATAGCCATACATAGGCTAAACCTAAATATCCACTAAACAGTATAAATTATATAATTCGGTATAGCTTTTCCTTTTGCTTTTTTCTCTTGTTTATTCACAGCTCTAAGAGGCAATGCCAAATCAGCGGAGCAGGGAAAGGACTGAAAATACAAGAAAGAAGTGGGATAGACATTTAATAATTTATCAAGATATAAATTCTTTTCAATTTTTACTGAAAAGAATAGCAAATAACTATTATTAAGTAGAAAGTGATAAAGTGATATATGTTATAAGATATATTAATGAAATTCAGAGAGGGAGAAATTG